TGACGGGAATCGAACCTGGGACTCTTCAGTCTGCAGGCCATTGCTCTATCCACTCAGCAAACCGGTTAGGGCAGAGATTATTTTTTAAAAATATATATTTTGATTGATGTTTTTAGAGCGAGAGGAAGAGAGCGAGAGAAACATCGATGTGAGGGAGAAACTTTTAATCAGTTGCTTTCTTCACATCCCCTACTGGGGGTCAAACCTGCAACCCAGGCATGTGCCCTGACTGGGAATTGAACAGGTGACCTTTTGATACAGGGGATGATGCTCAACCAACTGAGCCACACTGGCTAGGCGTGGCTAGAGATTCTTTAATGTAATAAATTGATTTATTATGTGGGTGGTTATTAGTATCAGTGGTTCAGGATGGGCATACCAGAAAGGGCCAGGAGATGGCAGTAAAAGCCAGGTAGTCATTTGAGAAATTCAAATTGGACAAAATTTTATTAGCCTAATATTCAGCCTCTCCTGGTGAATTTACAAGGTGTTTAGGAGGGGGTGAAGAGGGAAGGGGTGTTGTTTCTTGATCAGAGAGAGAGAGGTGGTCTACCCAAGTGGCCATTCTTATTCCAGTTTCCATGGTGTCCCTGAGTTTTATCCCTTTCAGTTCTTTTCATGAAATTCTCCTGCAAAATAATAAAAAAAATTATATCTATTAATCTACTCTTTGTTTTTAGTTTTTACGTAGAACATGTTTTTATAATATATAGGGGCTGTAGATGAGAGTGTCGCTGGATTTTAGCAGTGAGTCACCTACCGGCCCCTTCATTTTTAGGTAGAGCGGACTTGGCCTCTCGTCCCCTGGGCTGAGCAGAACCCAGGGTTCTCCTGAGACTTCCAATCCATGGCCTCCTCTGTCTCATCTCTTATGACTGTGGGATTCATTCTGTTTAGGGACCATCTTGGTTACCACATGGTACTTGGTTCTTTTACTTGATCTGTATACACACACACACACACACACACATACACACACACACACACACACACACACACACACACACACACCCCAAACAAAAATCTGTTCAGTTAGAGCTGTGTGTGTGTTTGAGGATGTGCATTGGGAAGAGAGACACACAGACATTTTAAAATTGACAGTTGGAGCGCCCTGACTCCCCTGCCACGTCTGAAACTCAGGCACTGGTCCCCGGCCACCCTGCTCTGTCCTTTTCTCTGTCTCCTCTTGTCTGTCTTCTCTCAGGAACAAAGCAGCCCCCTGTTTCCTTACAGGGTGATCTTTTATAAACTCAAATCAGCTCCCTTTCTTGCTTGGTTTCTTAGGTCTTTTACTATAAATTCTCAAACCTGATAGCATATGTGCGCACACTCCTCTTCCCCTATCCCCTCCCTCACTCCCCATTCCCTACAGTGGGCTGGTTCACACCCTGCGCCCTGCAGGCTCCATTGCTTGAGGTTTCCTGTATTTAGCCCAACTCCTGGCTTCAAGACAGCCCACTTCCGGGCCAGTTCCCCTGCGCTCTCAGATTTAGATGATGTCTGCCCCCCCCCCCCCCCCCTCTAATGAATTACTTTTGATTAGGAGAGAGACGCTGAGTGTTCTAGTCCGGAATTGTCATCAACTTTGATAGCACCGGGCATATTAAGGGAGTTTAGATGGGCTCAATGATTGTGAAAGTGTTATTTAAGTGCGAACTGTCCTCAGCTCAACTTGTGATCAATGAGAAAATGATGGTCATTTAATTCAAATCAATTCAACAGTCCTCATTGTGCCTTAGCAGCAATCACCACCCACTCATTCATTCTTTAGACCTTCCTGAGGCCCCCGGGGCCAGAGGCACAAGGTGAAGGGGGAGAGGTCAGGGGTGATCTCATCTACAGTTTTGGAGTTTAGGAGGGGTGTCGGTATTAGCCACAGGCATCTGGGATTCAGAGTGAATGGGTGGCCGGTAACCATCCACCTGGATCCCAGGGCCTTGGACACAGCCTGCTTCCAGACCTTTCTCCTGTGAGCAGAGTGCAACCTTCATATCCTGAGAGGGGAGCAGAAGCCGTTTTATATCTGTTATAATGGACACATTTAAAATCGTCTTCGCTTCCCTCTGGCACTATCACAATAGCGGAGGGAACATGTAACGATTCTACATTAAACAAACACATGGCTAAAATCTACAAACATAGATTACACATCCCTAGACTCCCCTCCCTGAAATGCTATCAGGTTTGAGAATTATCTGAGGATTTACCCTCTGAGGGGCTTTGTTTTTGCTCTGATACCATGCCTCGCCTTAGGAAATAGAGTGGTGGTTAAGTTTTGCAAATAGCATGCCTCCTTGTGGAGGTATTTATTCGAGCAGGACTTTTTGAAAATATTTTTTTTAATCCATTTCAGTGAGGAAAGGAGAGGGAGAGAGGGATAGAAACATCAAAGATGAGAGAGGATCACTGATCGGCTGCCTCCTGCATGGCCCACACCGGGGATTGAGCCTGAAACCTGGACATATGTCCTGACTGGGAACCGAACTGTGACCTCCTGGTCTATGCTCAACCACTGAGCCACACCAGCCAGGCAAGAGTGTTTGTTTTTTGTTTTTGTTTTTTTTTTTTGTTTTTTGAAAGAGCCAAAAAAGATGACTTAAAAAAAAATCATTATTGAATGGTGTTTCACCATGGTATATGAGTTCTGTATGGTTTTATGGTGATAAGAAGAGCTTTGGCAAGGGGCTTGAGAGTGAGTGAAGAGAGGGGAGGTGAAAGTGATTGAAAGTAGTTGTTCTTACATGGCAAGGACAGATTAAAGCTCTGAGGATGAACATTAGAGTTAAGTTTTAAGGACCTATCTCCTAAGTGGGTGTAGTCACGGGGGCTTTTCAGCTCAGTGTTTAGACACCAGCTGTTGTTGAGATAATGTCCAGGTAATGAAATGCTAACGAAGCCAGCCAGTTGCCTCCCCTTCTCCATCTCAGTGAGGGGAGAAGGATGAGACATCTGACATCTGAGGTTTATTTTGAAAACTGGAAACACAAACCAATGTCAGACAGCACACGATTCTCTTCCTTCCCCACTCTTTGGTGGCATCAAACGTTCTAATGTTTGTGAAGATACAGTAGAAAAGAAGAATTTTTAAATACAGTTTCTCCTTGGGTTTGAATCCTGAGGTTATATAAAATTAATGCAGTATGAACCCAGAGCTACTCCGGGATTTACTACCGTGAACTTGGCTGTTCAATTACAGATACTCCATGTGGGGTGAGGTAATTTCATGGTGCATGCTTTCGGAATGGGAGAGGTGCCTAGTTGGCAATGTGGCATTGTGAAGGGTAGCAAGTTTCACCAGTTTTTTAAAACACCAACTATTCCCTGCCCCTACCCCTCCAATCCCAACGCCCCTTAAAGCACTACCGTATTTGTTGTGCACTAGTAACTTAGTGTGCAGATAGCTTCTTAGATGACATAAAATAATAGGTGTATCTTTCTCTTAGGCAAAGTTGAAGAAGTAGGAAGCTCTGAATTTGTTGGCCACATTAGAGAGGCAATTCTTTGCTTTCTAAAGGGGTTCTTTGCCTCCTTGAAGGATTTGCAATAGAATACTTTAGGAGTTAATTTTCATTTCTTTTGTGCATAGGGATTACAGAGCACTCCTACTGGGCAAAGTGAATTACATGGAGGCATCAAAATTCAAACAGAGATATATAGCTGATTTCTTCCCGGCTTTTAGTTTTTTCATAGATATGTGCAACCATCACCACGGCCAATTTTTAGCACATTTTTCACCTCAAAAGAGAACCCTGATCCTTTAACTACCACCCTCCCATCATCCCACCCCCACCCCACCCCCATCACCAACCCTATGCTAAGCAGCCACTAATCCATTTTCTGCCTCTGTGTCCCTGCTCTGGATTTTCATCTGAATGAAAACATACAACATGTGGCCTTTTGTTTCTGGCTTATTTCACTCAGTATGTTTTCAAAATTCATCTATGTGGTAGCATGTACCAGCACTCCACTCCTTTTTATGGCAGAATAATATTCTACTGTGTGGGTAGAGCTCAGTTTGTTTATCCATTCATCTGTCGATGGACAGCTGTTGTGGACAATGCTGATATGAATGTTCAGGGTAGGTGTCTGTGTGGACATTTGTGTTCATTTCTCTTGGGTATATTGCTGGGTCAAATGGTCTCTCTGTGTTTAATCATTTGAAGAACTGTCAAACTGTTGTTTTTTAATGGCCGCACCATTTTACATCCTGCTCGCAGTCTACGATGATCCCACTATCTCTACACCTTTGCTAACCTTTGTTGATTTAACTCTTTGATTCTCGTCATCCTAGTGGGTGTGAACTTACGTAAGGTTGGAAGGAATTGGGAAGGAATTTCTCTTTCTAATAGATTTTTAAAAATGCAACATATATATATATATATATATATATATATATATATATATATATAGTGCCCTTTTCCTAGTTATCTGCAGAAGCATGACTGCTAAGAGATCCTATCACCTGTCACAATAATAAAGGGAGTTTTTTGAATTTAGTGGGCTGATATTGGTTAATAAAATTATATAGCTTCAAGTGCACAGTTCTAGAATACATAATCTGTATATAGCATTGGGTGTTCCCCACCTTATTTGTTGATTTTTTAAATATATATTTTTATTATTTTGGAGAGGGAGAGAGAGCTAAAAACATCAGTGATGAGAGAGAATCACTGGTCCGCTGTCTCCTGCAAGCCTACACTGGGGGATCCAACTCACAACCCAGACATGCTCTCTGACCAAGAACTGAACCGTGACTGTGTGGTTCATAGGTTGACGCTCATCCACTGAGCCATGCCGGCCAGGCCCCCCACCTCATTTGTTAATCCAGAAGTTTCCCTAATCAAAACCAAGGTGGGAGACTATAAATGTGGGTGCGGAAGGGACGAAGAGGGGTGGGTGGCGGAATGTGAGCAGGAGGCGCAGCTCCTGGAATGTTGCATCTCTGCTGGGAGCTGGCTCCCCTTCCCCTCGCCGCGTCTCACGGCCCCTCTGTCTTCCAGGAGGACTGGCCCTGGCCCAGGTGCTCTTCTTCTACGTGAAGTACCTGGTGCTGTTCGGCATCCCAGCTCTGCTCATGCGCCTGGATGGCCTCACGCCGCCGCCTCTCCCTCGCTGTGTCAGCACCATGTTCAGCTTCACGGGCATGTGGAGGTCAGTGGTTTGTTAAGCTCTGTGCAGGAGTCCCGTGGAGGAGCCGAGGCTTGGTTAGCTTCAGAGGGCTTGGGCCACCATCCTGTGTCTGCCCCTCACTGAAGCCCCAGTTGGTGATAGATTCAATAGAGAAGGGCAGGAGACCAGGATGGTAGGACACAGGCTTTGTTGGAGGGAAGAGTACCCATGTCGGCTGCTTCCAGAGAGAGGGGCGGAAGAGAGCGAGAGCCGGGGTACAAGCACTTTTAAGGAGAGGGCACTCAGCGCACGCTGATTGGTGATTAGGGACCTAGGGACTAAGAATCGGGGGCTTAGGGTATTTGGCAGGTGCTGATTGGTGATTCAGAGATCAGGAATGTCTGGCCACAGGTGGGGTTTATGTCTGTTCATTAACTGGAGGAAGGGAGGATCTATCAGTTGGCACTTCAGTTTCTTTATCTCAGAGGATGACCTCTTGAAAATATTGTCAGTCTGTGATGCCACGTGAGATGAGAAAGTCACCTGGTCTGTCCAAACGCATCAAGGGTTATGTCTAAAGTGCTCCCTTACTAACTTGGGACATGCTGTTCGATAGTGATGATTTTATTGCTGAGAAGGACATCTGTTTATGTGGGACTGTCCAGTAAGAGAACAGACTCAGGATAGTAGCATGGGCAGCTGTCAGCCATTACTAGCTCTACGATCTGGGGCAATGAACTAAATCTCTCCAAGTTTCCATTTCTTGTCTCTTAAGTGATAATGATGCAATTCCCATTTCCGAGAGTTGTTGTGAAGACTAAACAAGCTCAGGCATTTAAAGCATCTGGCACATAGTAGATGTTAACCACTGTTAGCTTTCACCCTTTCATTATTCCCGTACTTGGTGCGCATGGGTAGATAGATGCGTATTCTATACTTCCTTACTCTTCTCGATTGTGCTCCATATCCCCACGCTGGCCTGGAGTCTTCCTTGGGAAAGATCCCTCAGTCCCTGCTGTTTCCGATCATTGTCCTCCAGATCACCTTGCTCTCCAGATCACCTTGCTGGCCTCTTTTTTTTTTTTTTTTTCCTCTTCCAGTATGTTTGAATTTTGATGCTTTGGTGTAATTCACTTTGCCCAGTAGGAGCACTCTGTAAAAATCTATGCACAAAAGAATTGGAAATTAACTACTAAAGTATTCTACTGCAAACCCCTCAAGGAGGCACAGAATCCCTTCAGAAAGCAACAATTTCAGACCTAATGTAAGACCCCAGGGTGGGGACTTGCACATCCGGGGAGTCCGTGCTGCTTCAGCTTTGCTGTCCTGGTGCCTCCATTGACCTCTGCGAGTGCCCCACGCTGGGCTGCCAATTGCGAGTGTCCCCCTCTCCCCTCCCACGTCCCGCATGTTTCAGGGTTCAGGTTCAGGGTTCAAGCTCTGGAGGATGTCGCACGCAAATGAAAGAGACTAGAAAAGATTAACTTGGAAATATTGGGCGTCAGGCGGGAGCCCAACTCAAGGGGAAGGACTCCACCTCCACTCTGGCCTTGCTATCCCTTTTATTGAGGCTCTGGGATACACCCAGAGCCTATAGGCAGGCTACTCCAATAATAGCCAATCTGCAAGAGTTTACATAAAACTACAAGGTGGAAGTTGCTTTAGCTACCATTGTCTCAACTAGTGGATGGTTGGCTCTGACCTCTCAGAGTCTCAAGGTTGACCAGCCTTTTGGGTTCCTTGTCCACACTTCTCTGCTAGTGAAGACCATGGGCGGCTTCCAACAGACCTCACCGTACTCTTGGCCCAGCTCAAAGCTGCCATTTTGGCTCATCTTACAGTTCACCCCTGGGGAAGAGCTCAGGGACTATTGCCGTGCCTACTGCTGCTATTAGGAAGGGGGTGCGGCTCATACTCAGCACCCTGGTTTCCCATAGTCACTTATTACAGATGCTAGACTTACCTAGGCCTTTTCAAAAACACATTTTGGGTTTGGCCCAGTTTGCTTTTTGGGATTAGAAATGTCATCTGGTTATTGCAAGAAATGTCAAGCAATTGCTTGGATCTGTCCTCAATCACTTTATTGAATGTCATAGGTTGCCCAGTTTTAATGGCAAGGTTAGCAAAGGGCATCTCTCCAGCCATGGGGCCGGGGAGTGGTTGGGAGGCCCTGGTAACATTTGACCTACTTGTAGAAGTAATTTACCGAATAAGTGGGTCAGGGCTCAGCATGATTTGGGGCCATGCCACACGTGCCTGGTATGCGTCTAGCCCTCGCCGCTGCCTCCTTGGTGTGAATGCTCGCGCTACTGCACTTCTTGGGAAGCTCATTCTTCTAAAGGGCCTCTCCAGGGTCCGCTGGCATCATGAAAAACCTGAGCAGGCGTGCTGACCCCAGGCTCCCTGTCCGTAAATACCAGCACACTGACAGTCGCAAGGGGCAATTTACACAGTTGACTGTATTTATTCTTTATTAATGTAATTTATTAATGTAATTAATTACCTTATTGTTGTTCTTTATTAATGTAATTAATTACCTTATTGCTTAGTATTTTGCCCAAGACCCTCAGTTTTATACACACCACAGAGCTGAGAGAGCAGGTCTGCTGAGACCGCTGTCACTCTCGGTTAGCACTGGACTCCAAGAGCGGAGTCCCAGGTTGTTGAAACCCTCTCCGCCCTCTCAGTTACACGTGGGCAAGAGAGCAATAATGGAAGTGTCTCTGAGGGGGAGGCTCTGGGGTGACCCCCGGGAGTGATTGGTTCCCAAGGGAGAGGCTCACGGGGACGTGTGATGAAATAACACATATGGTCTTTCCTAGGAGTGATCTCAGCTTTGATCCTGGCTTTCTTTACCATTCGTGGCTCAGACTCCCCTCCCCCTTCACATTTGTTTTAGTTCCTTGAAGGGTTTTCTGGTCTACCAATTATACTTAGCAACACCTAAGCCTTCTTGTCGTTTCTTCCTTCCTTCCTTCCTTCCTTCCTTCCTTCCTTCCTTCCTTCCTTCCTTCCTTCCTTCCTTCCTTCCTTCCTTCCTTCCTTTCTTCCTTCCTTCCTTCCTTCCTTCCTTTCTATTTATTTATTTTTTTACACAGGGGCCATTCCACATTAAGTAACTGGATTAAGGAAGGGATTTTTAAATATATTGATTTCAGAGAGGAAGGGAGAGGGAGACAGTAACTTCAGTGCTGAGAGAGAATCACTGATCGTCCGCCTCCTGCATGACCCCCACTAGGAATTGAGTCCGTAACCCAGGTATGTGCCCCAGCCCGGAATTGAACCATGACCTCCTGATTCATAGATTGACGCTCAACTACTGAGTCACGGTGGCCCGGCAGGAAGATATTTTAAGTCCCTCTGAGCTGCAATGCATAAGTTAAGGCTCAGAAGAAGTGGTGTTTTTAAAAAAATATATATTCGTATTATTTCACAGAGGAAGGGAAAGGAAAAGAGAAATAGAAATATCATTGATGAGAGAAAGTCATTGATTGGCTGCCTCCTGTATGACCCTAGAGATTGAGCCTACAACCCGGGCATGTGCCCTGACTGGGAATTGACCCATGACCTTCTGGTCCATAGGTCAATGTTTAACCACTGAGCTACACTGGCTGGGCAAGGATGGTTTTTTTAATCGATAAAATAATAAACCTCATAGTTTATCTTCTGTGTTATTTGCAGGTTCTCCTTAACCCTTAGGAGGAGGTATACCATGTTCATGTTCTGGGGCTGGTAGCATAGACCTGTACTTCCCCTCGCCCCCCTCTCTCTGATTTTCCTCTGTAAGAAGGTATGTCAAGGGAAAATGAAGTGTTGAGTTTGTAATTTCTATTTACACCTAAATTTATGCTAATATTTCTGGGGCACCTGTTGAGGCCTCACTGCAGACAGAAAATTGCTCCCTTTTCCTGGGTTCAGGTCTGTAAAAAAAAATGGAGTCAGGAGCAGATGTGAAAGCTGGGAATGTTCATCTTTTTGCTGGGCCTTGGCAGCCACTCCTACAGTGACACAAAGGACAGGGAGGATGGGGAGGTCCCTGAGATAATTGAAATGGACCCATCACTCAGAAAAGAGATTACAAAACAATCTCTGGCGATTGTTTCTTGGTTACCCAGACTTCTAGAAAAACCCCCCTGAGTGGGGTGTAGAAGTGATGATGGGAAACGAATATTTAGCCTTCCATTTTATTTTATTTTTTATTTTTTTAAAATATATTTTATTGATTTTTTACAGAGAGGAAGGGAGAGGGATAGAGAGGTAGAAACATCGATGAGAGAGAAACATGGATCAGCTGACTCCTGCACACCTCCTACTAAGGATGTGCCCACAACCAAGCTACATGTCTTGACCAGAATCTAACCTGGGACCCTTCAGTCTGCTCTATCCACTGAGCCAAACTGGTTAGGGCTAGTCTCCCATATTAAAGGAGCCTTAAACCCTGGGCAGGGTGCCGACTGACTGCCCTGTCTTTCAGTCCACTCAGCAGTGAGAGAGGACTTGAGGCGGCAGCCTGCCCTATCAGGGGAATCTGAGCTGTACATCACGGATGACATTGGCCATCAGCAGAGGGGCAATGCTGCCTGACACGATAGTTCAATTTGGCCATGAAAAATTGCTGTTCACCCAGATGGCCCAAACCTAAAGGTTAGGATCTCTGATGGGTTTATTTATTTTTAATTTTTTTTCTAGCTCTTCTCTTGCATATAATTTCTGTTTAAATATTTGTAGACATAACAAAACCCTAATTCCTACTGTGGCCTTATGGATCCGAGAAATTGAGAGTTTCCAGCTTAATTTTTAGGTTTCCTATTTTAATTTCAGTGGGCTGAGATCCGTAATGAGCATCCTTCGCCAGGAGTCATTAAAGATGACGTTGCGTGTCCAAGGTTCCAAATTAGAAATCTGATCATGTGCCCCAGATTTGATTTCAAGCTATGGAATCATAGGGTGCAAGGAGAGAAAGTTTCTTCGGGCCGCCGGTGAGTTATGGGTCCGTTTCAGTTATCTCAGGGGCCTCCCACAGCTCGGCCTCTGCATTTCTT